TCGGTTTGAAGAGTGGGATATGGCGTGAATTTACTGGGCACAGAGGAATAACACCTGAGTCCTCAGGAATGGCAACGCATGGTAGGTATCATAGGCGAAACGGTATACTCTGTTATGTCCATGCTACTGCTCATGTCTATAGGCGACGGTTACTACTTTCCATCAGCTTGTTTGCCATTCTAAGTTGTATAAATAAATAAATAAACCCGACTCCATAGTATTTATTTATCAGATTTATAATTAATTATAAAAAATGCAACCGAATTGAGTACCTACTCTTTTTTGAAGTCGGTTAAAACTCTCTAGCAATCTTACCAGTCTTAGTTTAAAACGAATAAAACGCACCGTCAGCGTCGTAGAGCGATAAGACATTTTGTAGACACATTAGAATTAAAATATTTGAATTTAAAATGCGAAAAGAGCGATACAGCATTTCTGCTTTCTCGCTCTTTCCCATAACTGTGTGCGGTAGCGAAAACGTATTTAGAAATGGACGTGTTAACCAATCATTTAATCTATAAAAGATTTAACACGTTCCAATGCTCAGATTATGGAACTGGCTTCCTTCCCAGGTGTTCCAAAGTTGTATGGACTTACTGTTATTCGAAACGGGACATCACAATTAAAAATGCAAATAATAATTATAATTCTCGGTACTCTTAGATCATGGCTGACGCATATTTATTAAAAAAAAAAAAGCGCGCCAATTCGCTCACACAAGAATAAAAAAATTGGACTCTTTTTTTAAATGTAATTATTATAATTTTCAGGTATTTATCCGCATTTCATTCTTCCTTGGTTTTTGAGGAAAAAAAAAGAGAATTGCGGGCAAACAGCTTATTTTTAATACATCATAGCTGTATAATTAATTTGAATTTGGAATTCTGAGTACCTTTAAAAATATTAAAATGTGGCCAGTATTAAAAATCGGAAGTAATTTCATAGACAAAGATCTAACACAATTTGAAGGTACCTATTCTTATGTCACAGACATCGTAGGTTATAAATTTTCCATTAAACAAAATTCCATACAAAATAATGTGTTAATAATCCTATAAACAGGATAAATGTTATATTAATTTTGATATATTTTGTCACTCGTGAATAATATTAATTTATATTAATTGAAATAGCATAGAATAAGAACTGCAATGTATCCTTTTTTATTTAATACACAAATAATATATTTGTATAATGTATCATACACATTGCACCTATTCTCTTGAGACTTTTTTAGAGAAGGAAACCTTGCATTTTATAAACATAATAAATATTCAATTCGGAAATATTCAATTTTGTAAAATTAACTTAATTTTAACGATTTTTTTTTAAAAGATTTACATTTTTATGGGTCTTTTTAGTCCATTTAAAGCAGCAGCTTCACCATTCGTCTGTACGCTTTGTGCACGTTACGCACATCGGCGCCACATTAATTTTCTCACCTTCGAAGTCAAAACCTAAATATATAATCTAAGCTGGTGTTTCCCAACGTAAGGCCCACGCCCCACAGGGGGGCAATTTGATAGTAATGGGGGGGGGGGGATTAAAAAATGGACTCGAAACGATTTTAATCCTCTTGCTTCGAGCTATTTAAATGCTACGATCAAATATCGGTGCCAAATTCAACAAAACAAGTAAATTAAAAAAAAATGCTGTAAATATTTATTAGGTATAATTTCGTTTGACGTTACCAAAGTATCAACTGGGCGATTAGAGTCGTCGAGTAAACTTTGTCGGGAAAAATTATGTATGGGGACATAAAAATTTTAGAAATGTTCAAGTGGGGCGTGGCACGTAAAACATTGGGAAACACTGATTTAAGCCTAACTACTTGTACATTAATATTTTTATTCCATTCTTTCATAGCGGTAACACGCAATCCAAAATGTGTAACTCGATTCGCTTACACCTCATTGGTTGACACTGAACGACTTGGTACTCACACTACCAGAGGGAGACTTTGTACAAAAGTCCATTGCTCGGGTACCTCTGTCCCATTCGTGTTTCAACTGTGAAGCAGTTGTGTTTGCATGGCTGTGTTTCGGTTTGAAGGGTGGGATATGGTGTGAATTTACAGGGTACAGAGGAATAACATCTGAATCCTCAGGAATGGCAACGCATGGGTGGTATCATGGGCGAAACAGTATACTCTGTTATGTCGATAGTACTGCTCATGTCTATAGGCGACGGTTGTCACTTTCCATCAGGTGGGCCGTCAGCTTGTTTGCCATTCTAAGTTGTATAAAAAAAAAATATTAATAACAGCAAACTGTTGCCTTGTAAATATGTCTAATTAATAAAATTTATTACACAATCATGGCACAGTCAATTTGCAATACATTTAATCCCATGTTACGTGCAGTAATACAGTTGATATCGTTTTATGAAATCATGCTAAGCTTGATTGACACTTATTTGTAACTTTATGTATTCTTATTTAGAGTTTTTTTTTTTTGGTGGATGAAAATGAAATGGTAACCCCGCCTGCGCCAACGGGATACGCTGCCGGAGCACCATTGAAGGGTGATAGATGAGAATGAAAACAGGCCAGTTAGCCTATCATGATGGATTCATCAGGAATTAACCATGACAGTTTCCAGGGGGAACCGCGAGGAGGACGACCTGGTTGGGTATATTGTTAGCAATAGGATTCTCAGACTCCATTACTAACAATCCCTTCCCCCCCCCCCCAGTAGTTGCGATGCTTGGCAGCCAGGTTGGCAAACGCAGCTAGGCTTTGGTGATGTTTTAAAAGACAATACTACCCATCTCTCGACCATCAACTACCCTTCTCAATTCGCCTGTATTCTTTTGTATTGGTTCAGATTTGGTTATCATATCTCTTATAATGTTGTATTACATTGTATACAAGGAGTATTTATACAGAATGTGCATATACAAAAGGCGGCCTTATCGCTAGGAGCAATCTCTTACAGACAACCTGGGAAGAATCCTTGTGTTGTTACGCTATATACATACGTCAATTATCTACAACTCTGTATGTATCCATTTATATATATATATATATATATATATATATATATATATATATATATATATATATATATATATATATATATATATATATATATATATATCATTTAATCTCTCTATATACTTACTTTGTACGCTTATAGTTAAATTGTGTCAATTAACTACATTTTTTTTGGCTTTATATTATATATACTACGATCTGTCTCCTTGCTGCGACAATAAATAGTATTTTTGACGTACACTTTAATGGCGTGCTCAGTACGCGACTTGAGTCGCATCCTACTTTATTTTATAGAATCATGTCTTGGGGCCTTATGCGTTTCAGTCTGCGAGCTGTGCGATTTACGTCCATAAGATCTCATTGCAGTCTGTTAGAATGTTTTGTTGTCCTCTCCTTTTAGGATTGTGTGAGTTGTAGTAACTACATATATTTTTACTATTGTTTATATTACTCATTGACTATTTTTATATAACGTAAAAAAAATTTAATATATATATATATATATATATATATATATATATATATATATATATATATATATATATATATATATATATATATTTTTTTTTTTGCCAGGACCGTTTATTTTTTTATTTGTACCAAAATAAAATAAAATAAAAATAAATCTCTTGTGTACCATTGCCAAATTTGATCCGATTTTATACAATTAATAAATAATTAGTCCTTGAAGGACTAACAAAATCTGGTATAAAATATATTACATCTTGATACGCCATCTAGCGGTCCATTTTATTACTTTCCTACTTCTAAAATTAAATTCATTTATACACCTTTCAGAATATCAAAATTACGTGACCCTAGTCGCATATAAATTGGGGCAACATAAGTTTTATGATTCAATGCAGGTATTAAATGCTGATAACGTAGGGAATTATGCATTTATTTCTTATTATGACTGATAACAATTAGGCAGGTGCATCGAGTGCATAGTGACGATGCGTTACACATCCTGTTAACATAATACCTACTTAATTAACGCTATATAAATAGATATTAAAAAATACCATATGGTTCCGGCATAGAATGAGCTTTCTTTCTTTCCCGTGGGTGTCGTAAGAGGCGACTAAGGGAGCTTCACGATCGAGAGATGGGCAGCAGCGTCCTTCTTAAAATAATCCAACCAAAAATTAAACAGCTGTTGCCAACCCGCCTGTCAAGCATGGCAATTACTGGCAAAACTTCCCTAACAGGGGGAGGCTTATTATATTTAGCAGTGGGCAGTAAACGGCTGATAACGTGATGATGATATGATGAAATATAAAATAAAAAAAAATGCCGTATGCAATAAAGTCGTTATGGACGTTCTATCTGTCTGTTTAGCTACTTAGTTCTTCTAAATTACACAACCATTTCCGATGTAGTTTTTACTGTACGAGTACATTTTCTAAAAGTATTAATTATATGTTCTAATTTGTATTCTAAATTAATCAATCGAATATTCAATCAATCAGTCAATCAATCAATCAGCCAGTATTTCAATTAATCAATCAATCGGTCAGTCAATCAATCGATCGATCGATCATTCAATCAATCAGTCATTCAATCAATCGATTATTCAATCAATCAGATTATTCAATCAATCAGTCAGTCAATCAATTAATTAATCAATCGGTCGATCAATATTAAATACAACAATATTTACATTCGTCAAAGTTTTTAAAAATGTTCGTGTGTTTGTTATTGAAGTTACGCTTAAATGGCTAAATGGGTCATATCTTGCATTTAAACACACATGAAACTTTTCCTAATCTATACAAACGATGGCAAAATTTTGCATTTACACAAATAAGTGTAAAGTTTCGCCATTTTTTAAATAAATGCGAATTTCAACATTCATTGAAATGAATGTGAGATTTCGCCATTTGTTCAATTAGACGTAAGACATCGCCATTTGTTGAAACAAATGTATGATTCCGCTATTAATTAAAACAAATGTAAAATTCCGTCATTTATCCGAAATTAATAAAAAACAAATGCAACTCACCGTGCACAAGACGACGCCTGTGTCCAGCCTGTCCAGGAAATTGTCAGCGTTAATCCTAAGCTCTGGGTAGAGGACCGTCATCCACTCGGCGAGGTCCTCCTTCATAGCATAGAGGTACTCCTCCGAGGAGCGGAACGGCCTGAAAGACCGCGCCTCCAGTAGCACTGCGCCCACGCACGCCATTGTTCACGACTAGTTGGACATCACTGGCTCTGTAACAAACATAGATATTAATTAAATAGATGTCGCAAATAATTGTTAGTTTGTATGCTCATTTATGGTTTTCAGTAAGCTCAAAATATTTCAGCAAATCAGGAAAATGTTGAAAACTAAACAGGAATCACAGAAATAGCTGTATTAAGTATGGTAAGAAATTTAAAAATATCAGATTTAATTAGAGAGAGAAAACACTGTGAACTACAATATTTTACTACTAGTTTTTACCCGCGACTATGTCCGTGTGACCGGGATATATTCCTAAATGAAATAAATAAACGAAATGTCCTAGTACGTGTATATCAAATTCCGTGATAAATAATTGAGCCAGTAAGGCACTTAGAGGTGACAAACAAACAGACTAACTTTCACTTTTACCAAAGGGAGACTTTGTACAAAAGTCAATTGCTTGGGTACCTCTGTCCCATTAGTGTTTCTACCGTGAAGCAGTTGTGTTTGCATGGCTGTGTTTCGGTTTGAAGGGTGGGATATGGCGTGAATTTACAGGGTACAGAGGAATAACACCTAAGTCCTCAGGAATGGCAACGCATGGGGGTATCATGGGCGAAACAGTATACTCTGTTATGTCCATGGCGCTGCTCATGTCTATAGGCGACGGTTACCACTTTCCATCAGGTGGGCCGTCAGCTTGATTGCCATTTTAAGTTGTATAAATAAATAAAAATTTGTAAGGATCGACAGAAGTGAAATGTCACTAACTGTTTTATTTTCTAGACTCTAAATTAGCCAGCCTTGGTTTCAATCAATGCAGTCAATCATTAGATTGATCAATCAGCGTTGTAATTTGATACGCCAATCCTTGTGGCGTGTGATCTCGCCACTCAAATAGCTAATTTAAACAAATTAAACACATTGTCTGCTATTATATTTACTAAAATAGAGATATATACTTTTTTTTTTTTTTTTGATGGCTGAAAATGGTATGGTAACCCCGCCTGCGCTAACGGGATACGCTGGCGGAGCACCAGTGAAGCGTGATAGATGAGAATGAAAACAGGCCAGTTATCCCATCATGATGAATTCATCAGGAATTAACCATGATAGTTTCCAGGGGAACCGCGAGGAGGTCGACCTGGTTGGGTACATTGCTAGCAATGGGATTCTCAGTCTCCATTACTAACAATCCCTTTCCCCCAGAGATGTATACTAGACTTAGGTGATACATAGCAATAATAATAAATAGATTTATTTCTCTTCACAATTCATTACAGTGAAATGCAATGCTTATATTAATCAAATTATAAATATAATAGTGAGAGACTGGTGCCTGAGATAGGTATAAGAATACCTGTATTACAGGTCACCAGGGCCTCACTCCGCAGGGTTACTTACTAAACACTTGTAATATAATAAGTGAATTCAATGTAATAAATATAATTTATAGGAACAGCAATATCTATATGTTGGTGTAATAAACAGATACGTGTATATTAAATATTGGTTATCCAACCGTGAATTTACAGGGTACAGAGGAATAACACCTGAATCCTCAGGAATGGCAACGCATGGGGGGTATCATGGGCGAAACAGTATGTGTGTGTACTGTTATGTCCATGGTACTGCTCATGTCTATAGGCGAAGGTTACCACTTTCCATCAGGTGGGCCGTCAGCTTGTTTGCCATTCTAATATATATATATATATATATATATATATATATATATATATATATATATATATATATATATATATATATATATATATATATATAGGTGACGGTTACTACCTTCCATCTATAGTATTGAAATGTAGCATCCAATACAAATTAATATTGATTACCAATCAGTGCTGGCCATCAATGTCCAAAGAAACCTATATATATATATATATATATATATATATATATATATATATATATATATATATATATATATATATATATATATATATATATATATATATATATATATATATATATATATATAGGTGACGGTTACTACCTTCCATCAGGTGAGCCGTCAGCCTGTTTGCCAGTCTAAGTTACATAAAAAAAAATACCGAGGTAAATGTTCAATCGCTTCATTTGTTGTATTGACAAAGGTCGTTTACCCTTTACCGTCGCTCCGGTCGATTGGGTGTCACCGCTCGCCACCGAATTACGACTAACATTGTGAACTTGGCCATTAGCTTATAGTGAACGTAAGCCCATAAAAGGTTGCCCAAGACTGTATGAAAAATGCACGTTCGACATTTTCTTCGTTAAAGACGTAACTGCATTTTGAAATAATACATCTACAGTAATAGAAATCATGTACACGCTACGATTGGCGACTGCATTTATGTAAGACCTTGTCGGGTTTAATGAATTTCCTAATTGTATGGTGAAAATTAAATACTTTAATAATTGTCTATTAATAATACACTGCTTCCGTACATTTAATAGAAAATTTTGCAATGAAAAACAAAAGAACATCAGTCAGATAAAATAAAAATAAAAAAAGGTGTTAAAATAAAAAAAAAGGTTGCAATCCTCAACAGACCTTGTTGAGCGAATTGGGGAAAACAATAGCTATAATAAATATATCCAAAACAGTCAGAGCTAATGGAAAAAGAAAACAACCATATCTTATGGACATGGAAATATGGCTATTTTCTACATAACCAGCTCCAACTAATGTTGACAGAGATTTAAAAGAGTAACTGTTGAGTTTCTTGCGGACTCCTCTCAACAGATAACGATCTTCCAACCCTTGCAGTCGATTTAAAAATAACGATTAAAGAGTGCTTTTTAATACAGGTTTACACAAACAAGTTTTTTTAAAATTATGACAAAACAGAAGATCTTTTAATCTAAGATATATGAATATAAAACCACTTACATACACGTTTTTTTTATACAACTTAGAATGGCAAACAAGCTGACGGCCCACCTGATGGAAAGTGGTAACCGTCGCCTATAGACATGAGCAGTACCATGGATATAACAGAGTATACTGTTTCGCCCATGATACCCCCATGCGTTGCCATTCCTGAGGACTCAGGTGTTATTCCTCTGTACCCAGTAAATTCACGCCATGTCCCATATCACGGTTGAAACACGAATGGGACAGAGGTACTAAAGCACGACTTTTGTACAAAATCTCCCTCTGGTACATCCCGACAATCAAAAAAAAAAGTTTTAAAAGAGCTTGGAAACAAGTCTATTTGAATAAGGTCATTTCTATTGTATTCTAAAATATAACCTCTTACTCTAACAGTTTTATTACATAAATGCACCATAAAATGAGTCATACGACATCAAACTGTTTACACAGTGAGTGTTCCCATTCATATAAACTAGTCAACAGTATGAGCGTCAGAAATCACGACCTAAAATAAACACTTACCACATTTTCGACGAAGCCATCGTCCTCCAAAAACATGTGTCAAAATACTTAAAAAAAATCAAACATTCCATAGAATCCTTGAATGATGCAAGCCATCCCATTCACGGCACCCATGTAATACTATAACGCACAATCATTTAATGGAAGTTCTCATTGCGTCACGAAGGTATGACAAAACGCGTTCGAAATGTGGTGAAACAAATTCGTAGCTTCATATTTACCGAAGCAAATTCTGCTGCAATACTATGTCCATTATCCATCAGAGATCCGGGTGTTAGAGGCACCATCCTTACACTAATCTCTTTGTCTCAATGTCCTCTACCCAAAGGTTGTCTGGAAGAGATTGCTTAGCGATAAGGCCGCCTTTTGTATCACTTTTTATTGAAATTACCGGAGGGGGACTTTGTACAAAAGTCGTTTGCTTGGACACCTCTGTCCCATTCGTGTTTCTACCGTGAATCAGTGTGTTTGCATTGCTATGTTTCGGTTTGAAGGGTGGGATATGAGTCCAAAGGAATGGGGGGTATCATGGGCGAAACAGTATACTCTGTTACGTCCATGGTACTGCTCATGTCTATAGGTAACGGTTACCACGTTCCATCAGGTGGACCGTCAGCTTGTTTGCCATTCTTAGTTGCATAAAAAAATTAACTGTATTTATTATTTTATAAATGGTGCAATAAAATAGAAATCTCAAATGATAACCGGTGCCTTTTGGAAAAACAATAAGGATGAATTACGAAAAACTTATTGGATATCAATTAACACAGTGCTAAGCGCGTTAATTAGAACTTATTACTGTTAAGGAGCCCCTGATTACTGGAGTACAGACAGTCAAGGTCAAGGTCGAGGGACAAGGTTACGCCCTCGTAAGAGGATAGCACTTTATTCACACCGCATTACGCTTTACGTTAAAAATTTTATGATAAATTACTTTTAAATGTTATTTAAATGGGCCGCGCTGTGTGTCTAATTGTACAAGTACATAGACATGGTTAAATTAGATATGACCTTATAATGTTTAAAGTAAAAAAACTTCGATTCGTCATCGTCTTCACTATCAGAGGGAGACTTTGTACAGAAGTCGTTTGCTTGGGTACCTCTGTCCCATTCGTGTTTCAACCGTGAAGCAGTTGTGTTTGCATGGCTGTGTTTCGGTCTGAAGGGTGAGATATGGCGTGAATTTACAGGGTACAGAGGAATAACACCTGAGTCCTCAGGAATGGCAACGCATGGGGGGTATCATGGGCGAAACAGTATACTCTGTTATGTCCATGCTACTGCTCATGTCTATAGGCGACGGTTACCGCTTTCCATTAGGTGAGCCGTCAGCTTGTTTGCCATTCTAAGTTGTATAAAAAAAAACCTAAATATTTTAACTGGCAACGTCCGATTAATGAGTCAGATTAATGACTTACTAGAATATGTCAAGGTATCACCGCGTTTCGCGTAATTTTTTTCATACTGCAGCGTCAGCCTGGTATATGTTATTCATGTACTATGAATAAATTTTTCATTCGAATTCTTTTTATCTCACACTGACCCACTTAGCCAACTGAGTCAGCAGCTAGTAACAGACATGACTGAGTGTTTAGGAATGGTAACGCATGAAGTACCTATGGGTGTCACAGTGTATTTTTTGAACTAAAT